AACAGTATATTTTAAAATGAAATGGAGATCTTTTTTAAAGGTTAAAACCTCATTCAATTTATGTGTTATAGGGTTTAAACTGAGTTCAGTATTGTATAACTGTGTTAATTCAACTGCAAACCAAAAAATTTACAGCCAATTTTGAAAGAGATGCATCTTAGCTCTGGAAACTGTTATTGAATATGTCACTGTTGTTGTAATGAAATGCTTCTTCTAAGTATGTGTTTACTAAATAAATAATTTTTTAAAAAAGAAAATGAACTCAAGTCAGCAATGCCCTCAAAATAGGATGAGGGCCTAGGGAAGCTCTTTATTCTGCTTTGCTACTGTGAAAGAGCTTGAAATGAAAAAAGCATTTTTGCTTTTGTCAAGTAAAAGACACTTAATACCTTGTGGCTTTTCTTTCCCCTGAAGGTCTGGTGCTACTTCATGTGGTTTCTCTGTGTGGATTGCCTCATCATCCCAGAAAAGGTATTGTTTCCTACCTTCAGGACCATAAAATGGTATTTGATACTTCTTTATATCCCCAGAAAGTAAATTCACTGGAAGCATTTTCGGAGGATCTTGGTCCATTTGATTACAAAGGACCTCAAACCAGATGGCTTATAAGCAGCAGAAACCCAATTCTTATAGTTCTAGAGAACAGAAGTCCAAAACCAAGTTACAGGAAAAGTTACTGTTTAATGAGAGCCTGAATTCTGATTTCTAAGGAACACCTTGCTGTGTCCTCACATGTCCTCACCCTCTCTGGGGTCTCTCCTTATTTAATAACAAGCCTTATTAAAATTACCAGTAAGCATTTCTTTCCTCCCAAAGTCATCTTCAGCATGCCAGTCACAGGTTCTCTACTTTTCCTTCTTATGCAGAACAATTTGCTCCACCTCAGCTTCCTAGTCCTGCCAGCTATAACCAGAGTACAGACCTAAGGCACTCTGCCATCACAGAAGCCAAAGAGCAGGGTCAGGAATTGAATCTTAGCTGCACTTTATTCAGAGAGCCAGTGGTCAGAGAAGGCTGCACATTAACACACCAAAGGAAAAAAGTAAAGTAAAAAACCACCAGACTGGAAAGGCTCAGCAGTTAACAGCCTTACAGCTCTTGCAGAGGACCTGAGTTAGGTTCCCCGGACCCACATCAGGTGGCTTGTAACTGCCTGTTAACTCCAGCTTCTGGGGGAATCTGACACTTCTGGCCTCCGAGGGCACCCACACTCATGTGCACATACCAACACACAGACACACATATACACATAAAGATAAAATAATAAATCTAAAAATAACACAGAAACTAAAATCTGCCTTCTCTCTCATCTCCATCCAGCAGACCTTATAGGGAGCATAGGGAGACAAAGGCAGTCATCAATCCAGAGCTCAGTCTTGCCCCTCAGGTCAGGTGGTCGGCCACACTTTTGAGACTTGTGATGCCTGTGCCTCTGTCATCATCCCTTTATACTCTTTCCTCATTCTCTGGATGTCTGGGCTCAGACACTTATTGAAATGATGAGTTTAGTTGGTGTCTACCAGAATTGACTTTGTACCCCTCCAGAGGCATCTGGGATAGGTGACAGGGGTTAACTCAGAACAATCATTAACAGTGTGTACATGCCAAGCTACTAATAGGACATATGTTCGGATTCTGATTTACAATATGAACACAAATGTGTTTTTATAATACAAAATATTGTGTTATGAAAGTGTCCCTATCCATCCCCCATCCTTTCTGTCAGTAGAAACTCTTATATTTGTAAGATCAGCATCATAGTAAAGAGTCCTGCTGCCCTGTTCCTAGTTGATTATCATCATTGTTTCTTACTAGTAAGGAAATTCTCTGGCACATGGTTACATACTTTGGAGCACACCATGTGTAATAGTAAGTAGTTATGACTTGTGAAAATGTTTAATATATTTCTGTGTCTGAAACAACTGTCATAAACAATACAAGTAGAAGCCAAGGTTAGAAGACATTTAGTTAGTGTCAAGTAACCATACGTAAGAAGCACTTTCATATGGCTTTAGTTACTTCTGGAAGGGCAGGCACAAGTGACCCCATTGCTTGTTGCTGGCTTTGAGATAGTCTCACTGTGTTTTTCAGGCACGCCTCAAACTCATAATTCCCTTGTTTCAGCTCCCTCCCAGCTCTGATTATAAGTCTGTGTCATCTTGTCTACTGTGAGTTTATTTTGATTTAGACTTTTCCTCTTATCCTAGAACAAATTTTAAAAGATATTGCTGATTAGGCATCTGGTGGTTTGGTTTTTACTGGCAAATTTTAAGCTCTTAGGGAAAATCCTAAACTGTACTTTTAAAAAATGCTGGGACATTACCCATATGACAGAAAAAATCAAATTTTAAAATGGACTTTATGTGGGCTTGCCCTAAGAGCTTAAAATTCACAGAAGAGTTTTTGTTGTTGTTTTGTTTTTTATCTTTTTGAGACACGGTCTCCCTGTAGTCCCAGCTGGCCTTGATCTCACAGAGATCTATCTGCCTGTCTCTGCCTCCCGAGTGCTGGGATCAAAGATGTGTGCTACCAGACTCAGTACACAAAGAGTTTTAATGACACTCTAACATCTGTCACTTGCCCCCAACCCCAAAGTGGGATCAGATTAGATCAACTGGGAGGATCTTATCCCAGAGAAATAAGCCAGTCAAAACCTTTCTTATCATACAAAAATCCTTATTTATAAAAACAAAATTTTCTCTTTTTTAAAAACTTTACTTACTAAAAATATGTCCTTGTACTTACATCCTCTTATATTTTCCCATTCTCTGCTTTCCCTTTTCTAATGGTTTCTCTTTTTTCTTTATATTTTCAACAAAAGAAGCAAATTTATGAACTTACTAAAAGAGATTTTAATCTTATCTATGACAGAATGTGGCAAATTAAAATGATCTCTTTACATAGTTAAGCCATTAGCAAACATTAACAGTGTGAACATGTTAAGATATTAATAATGTGTATGTGCACATTCCTTCCTTTATTGAGTACAAGTGTACTCAATAACACAAAATATAAAAGCACCTCACCCATCTACCTGTTCCCTATTAGAACTACATCTCCAAAGGTGTTAGATACTTAGACACAAAAGTAGGTTTCAGTGAGGGGAGTCAGTAAACTGAAAGGATGGAAGTAGAAATCTGCTATTAAACAATGTGTTTCCCATACATCTTATTGAAAAGTTGTTAGGGCTCATAATACAGTTACATGCTTTCTTTATACATGTTTATTCATAAAATTGCAATGACTAATAAGCATTTTAAATCCTTTTCCTCGCTGAAAACAGTTATTGCGATAGCCTTATTCCCTCTTGATATCAGGCTTTATTTTAAGCATTCCAAATGCTTAAGGTTCCCACATATCAGATTACTTCTTTCTAATCAAAATCCTCCTAGAACTAGCCTGCTTCTTCACACTAGAAGTTGCTAGAACCAGCAAACTCTCTAAGGATGTTGGGAATGAGAGAAGGCAGACATGAAGACTTGCAAATTCACAAAGCAAAGAACAACAGAAAGTCCATCAGACCTTCAAAGGGTACAGTGACTATCCGTATACCCCCATAACTTACTTCAGTGAGCCACTGAGACTTCATGGCTTGTACAGTGGTGTTCATCAGTTTTTCACAATAGCCTCTGGTTGAACAGGACCTCTTGCCTGGGCTCAAGGCAGCTCACATATAAGCAAGACACCCATTCAAAGAATACGATGATGAGATTAGTAAACACAGAACCCCAACATTCTGAACATGACTCATACCCAGCAGTACTCTTGTTTTCTTTCTCCCTTGATGAATGCTTCTCTCAGGGCTCTGGATATTCATGGCTGTGGTGCTACCTACTCGTACTAACTTGCCCATGAGTCCTGTCCTGAGACCCAGTCTCCAGAACAGCTCTAGACCCACTCTCCAGAATACTGTGCCCCCCTTTCTCATGCAGAGAGCAATAACTGGACTATTTGGATTTTCAGATCTAAAGTTTATGCTCTAAAAAGTAAATTTCAGAAAACATAAAAGCTGTAGAACAAAGAGTTTTTGATAAGAAAGAAATGGAAAACGAGATCAACAGAATTCCTTCCAAAGGACAGATCAGAGAATGACAACAGAGAACACAAAGACATGTTAATACTACATGTAAGTTCAGCCATTTTCCCGTAATTTAGACTGAAAATGGTCTGTGTTCAAAGAACAGCTTAATACTTTCGTGATCAATTTACTTGTTATTATTTCAGAGCTGTAATTAGTCTTTAAATTTTGGATTATTTTTCTTCCAATAGATGCTTCTGCTTCCTACCAGTCCTTAATGAAAAAGCACACACTGCAGGTCCTGAAGTTGAAACTGAGAAGAGCAGCAAAGCAGAGTAATTCAAAGTCTTATAGACAACTGTCAGCCTACAATACCATAGTGAAAGAGAGTCTCCAAAGAACACGTCTACTCAGGGGACTGAGTACTGCAATGGGCACATGCATCCATGGTAACTGTATGTCACTCAGGGAAACAGATATTTTTATGTTTTTTTTTTTTTTTTAAATTTTGTTTTGAGGGACTGGAGAGATGGCTCAACATTTACGAACACTGACTGCTCTTGCAGAGGACCCAAGTTCACTTTCCAGCACCCACATGGCAGCTACTAACCATCTGTAACTCCAGTTCCAGGGGATCTGACACCCTCTTCAAACCTCTGTGGGTACTGCACAACATGGGTGCACTTACATACATGCAGGCAATACACTCATACACATAAAATAAAAATATTTTTAAAATAAAATAAAATTTTATTTCATATGTGTATGTATGTGTGTGGGCATGCATGTCACAGCAACGTTGGAGGTCAGAGGATAGCTTCCATGAGTTGGTTCTATCCTTCCAACCATGTGGGTCCCAGGGATCGAACTCAGATCATCAGGTTTGAGAGCAGTTTCCTTTACCCACTGAGCCATTTCACTGACCTGAAAGGCAAGGGTATTTAAAAGTAAAAGAGGAGGGTTCCAGAACTTGTTTTGAGACAGTTACCCTTGGCTACAAAGAGCTGTAGTGAGGGTGGTGTCAGTTCAAGTTTGGATAAGGAGTTGCCAAGCAGATGTTCTCACAGAAATCTTGTGTAATATTGTGGTTCTGACACAGTAATAGTTTTTGATATCAAACATACATGCATGTAATTCCCTCCCACATGACCTTCTCACATTTTTTTTAAATTATAGAGTTTGACAGGAATGATTCCATTTTGATTCTAATAAGTTTCACAAAAGAAAGAAGGAACAGAAAGAAGAGGAAGAAAAAGGAAAAGAATATAGGAAGGAAAGGGATGATCTTCAAGAAGAATCTGTGCGGATATCATACGATCAAGCCAGATGAGCCTGGTGTGGTAGTGCATGCCTTTAATTGCAGCACTAGGGAGGCAGAGGCAGGTGAATCTCTGAGAGAGTGAGGTCAGCCTGGTCTACATAGCAAGTTCCAGCCAGTTGTGGCTACTGGGAGACCCTATCTCAATTTTTAAAAAACCAAGCCAGATGGGGAAAGACATAGTGGCAGACACTTAGTTAACAGAAAGGCCACAAGAGAAGTATGCACAGCGTGAGAGCTGACAGTGGTAGGATTGACAAGACCAAAACTGGGGAAAGTTTTCTGGGGAAACTGATGATTTTCCTGAAATCTAGAGGACAGCAAGGAGTTCACTAGCCAGCAGGGACAGAAAGGTCAGTGCAGAGGGCAAGTGGAATCGTGTGCAAATGTCCTGTGAGTGGAGAATGCACACTCTGCCACTGGTCTCCCCAAAAGCAGCGGAAATAAAAATCTACTGGCTGGATGCCTAGGGAGTGTCAACAGTGTCATGCCCTCCAAGATGTGGCTCCGAGGTTTACATATTGGCATGCCCAGCTAAGAAGAACGGAAATGGAGAAAATTTACCAGAAGGAATTCAGTACTCCACCCTCTAATCCTGTAATCAAGCCCCTCCCTGAGAAACCCTAGACATCATGATCTGTGAGCTTGACTGAGAGAAGCTTCACTTCCTGGTATGCCCTCCAAATGACCTCATTATGACCAGAAGCCCAACAGTAAAACTAATTGCTCTTCTGAGATCTTCCACATTAATTCATAGAAGGGAATTGAAGTAAAAGAGAAGTGGACGATGGATGTGAGCACCATAGCCACATTACCCTCCCTCTGTCAACCCACCCCCAGTGCACACAGCTGTGCCCAGTCATTGCCACCAATGTCTGCCCAGTCGTTGGTTCTGTTGAACCATCAGAATGTTCAGTCTTCTGTTGTGTAAAATCATCCATCCTCCATTTACAAAGTCAGGAGGTAAAGGGACTTTAACCTCCTATCAGGGGAGGGTTAGTAGATATAAGCTGCATGGAATTTGGATTTTCTCTTCTTCCTAGTGTATCTAACATTATTACCTCCATCTTACAGGAATCTGAAACATAAATAAAAGAATCAACCCATGAACAATGTGTAGTGAGTGGAGGGGGTTGGTATTTCATGCACTCAGATGCACAGGCCTGGCCTATTTCCAGCTCTGACTCCAAGAGGCATGGCCCTACTTCCCCATCACTCTTCCTTTTCTTTTTCTTTTTTTGGTCTTCTTTCTTGATGTTTCAGGAAAACAGATGAAGCAGCAGATTGAAAATGTGGACGTTTGCATTGTCTTATTTTATTTATTTATGTATTTATGTATGTACGCATTTATTTATTTATTTTTGGTCTTTTTAAGACAGGGTCTCCCTGTAGCCCCAGCTGTCCTGGAACTCACTATGTAGACCACACTGGCCTCAAACTCACAAAGATCTGCCTGCCTCTGCCTCCCAAGTGCTGGGATTAAAGGCATGTGCCACCATGCCCGGCCTTGTTTTTATTAAGATTTATTTTTATTTTATGTGTATGAGTATTTTGCCTGCATGTATGTAAGTGCACCACATGTGTGCTGTGCCCACAGAGGCCAGAGGAGGGTATCAGATCCCCTGAAACTGGAGTTACAGACACTTGTCAGCTACCATATAGGTGCTGGAAACCAAACCCAGGTCCTTTGCAAGAACAGCAAGCACTCTTAAACACTGAGCCATCTCTCAAGTTCAAAGTTTGCATTTTTGATACCATTCTTGGAGACTTCCAGCTCAACCTAAAACACTGAGAGAAAAGTCTCCACCAATCAGGAAACAGCTCAATTCATTTACAGAAGACGTAAAGTAAGTGGTAAAATGGCAACTAAAGAAAAAAAAACAAGAAAACCAGAACACATATAAAAGCAAAAATAACAACAAAATTGAAATGGGGGGTGGCATTCTTTTTTATAAAAACACTAAAGGTGCTTATTTCAAGAACACTGAAAATAATGGAAGATGGGAATTAAGACATTGACTAGAGGCCAGGCAGGGTAGCTCACTCGGGAGGCAGAGGCAGGTGGATCTCTGTGAGTTCAAGGCCAGTGTGGTCAACAAAGTGAGTTCCAGGCCAGCTGGGGCAACAGGGAGACCCTGTCTCAAAAAGACCAAAAAAAAAAAAAAAAAGAAAAGAAAGACATTCACTGAAAGAAATGGGTTTTCTCTAGCATTGAAGGACATAAGTCTGTGGTACAAGGATCCATGAAGGGCCCTGCACAATGAAAGGGGGAAAAAATCTACAACTAGGCAGCTCAGAAACAAAAGCATTAAAAAAAAATTCTAAAAGCTTCCAAAAATATCAGGGCTGGAGAGTTAAGAACACTGCTTGTTCTTGTGGAAGACCCGGGTTCAAATCCCAGCACCCACATGGCAGCTAACAACTGTCCGTAACTCCAGTCTCAGGGAATCCGACAGCCTCTTCTGACCTCCGCAGGCATTGCACAGCATGGATGCACTTACCTACATGCAGGCAATACACACATACACATAAATTAAAAATAATTTTTTTAAGTTAAAAGAAAAACGCTTTCAAAAATAGATGGTGTGCTGGATAGCTTTAGTGTCAACTTGACACGCCTGGGTTGAGGGAGCCTCAATTGGGGAATTTCCTCTATTGGACTGGCCTGTGGCCATGTCTGAGGACCATCTTCTTGATGAGTGATGTGGGAGGGCCCAGCCCACTGTGGGTGGTGCCACCCCTAGGCAGGTGGGCCTGTGTTGCATAAGAAAGAAGGCTGAGCAGGGACCAGGGAGCAAGCCAGTAAGCAGAGTTCCTCCATGGCCTGTGCACCAGCTCCTGCCTCCAGGTTCCTGACCTGAGTTCCTACCTTAGGCTCCCTGATGAACTGTGACCCAGGATATGTAAGATAAATAAACCATTTCCTCCCCAAGTTGGTATTGGTCAGAGTGTTTTGTCACAGCAATGGAGAGACAAACCAGGACAGATGGCTTTCAGTGGAATAAGATTTCAGTGGAGGGCTGAAGACAGTAGACTTGCCTGGCATGTGTGAGGTCCCGGGTCTAATCCCAGTACTAGGAAAAAAAAAAAAATCAGTTGAGTTTTCATCAGTTACATCAGATGGCAGAATAGAATGCTGTCTTCAAAATTCTAAAGGAAATGATTGACAAAAGCAACATAACACACAAGCATAGCTTTAAAATAATAAAATGAATACCCATGACACCAACACCCTATAATGATAATTCATATTTCCTGAATCTGTGACACACCTGACAGCCCTGCCCTGAATTCATCCCCATATGTACATGTATTCACTGCCATATGTACATGTATTGCTGAATCAATACAAGTTTGGGCTAAAAATGTATGTTATCATAGAAAATGTATCTATTACATGAAATTTTTATAAATATCCTGTGATTTTTCCCTCTGTTACTCATCGTTATGATTTTAGCTCAACCACGTTGCATAAACACCTCTCTTATCCCGCATCATAATCTTGTTTGCCTGATGTTAACATACCTACACCAACTTCACTTTGGCTCGTTGCCTAGTAATCTTTCTCTCTCCTTTGGGTAGATTTGTTTATTTACTTTAAAAGCTGATCTGACAATTTTTATGTCTTAACTGAATTATTTATTGTGATTGCTGATGTATTTTGGAGAGGAGATCTGCTTTCTATTTATTTCCTTTCCTCTTTCTCGGTTTTTCCTATCTTTTTTCTTGCTTTCTTTAGAATTGGTTGGCTGCCCCCCTATTTCATCACTCTCATAGAGAAATATTTTGAAACATGAGATTTGTAATCTAATCATATTATAAAAGTATGAGGGAAGAATAAACATTTTCAGGCATGGAAGGACTCAAGAAATATCCTACTCCTGTCTTAGAAGCCACGTTCAAATGTCATCCAGTCAAATGAGAGAATAGACCATGAAAGAGGGTGACCTGGAGCCTAGAGAACTGCAAAGAGGAATAGAGAAAAGCTTCCAAGGAGGAGGAGCCCAGCAGGCACAGAGAATGAACAGCCCAGGCTGGAGGGAAGAATGCTTGTCTAGCCTGTGCAAAGCCCTGGTTCCAATACCAGCACTGCAGGGGAGAAAAAAAAAGTAGAGAATAATCAACCAAACTGAAGTCAGAAAGCAATGATTTCAGGAAGGAGCCACCAGGGAAACAGAATTCCAAAGATCTGAAACTA